TATGCAATCGGTACTTGGCAGTAACAGTGGTGAAAGTCTGATGATTAAGTGTTATTATGTTTTTTCCCCTAAGTGTTTGAGCTGACATATCCTGTATGGAATTAACAATTCTATTTATTGTTTTATTTTTGTTTTAAAAATTTATGCATATTCATGTTTATTACGAAAAGGACTTTGCAGTAACTTATATAAAGTAGCTGTCATATTCATTTTCCGCAGAATTTCTTTATACCAACCGACATTTAAGACAATAATTGAAATGACGCTAACTAGCGTGGGATTATTGTGTTTGACATTTGCAGTGTTTGGTACACTATGTCATGCTTATGGTAAGTTTTTTTATACACAATCTTAATCGATGATCCTGGTTCATATAGTTTAAGAGTCATTCTATGTTAGAATCAAAGAATTTAGAAAAAAAAAACTTGGAAATGGTACATCACAGATTTTGCTGATTTTTTGCATGCAATGTAGAAGCACCATGTATAGACATTTTTGGGGTTATTTTTTTTTTATTTTGAGTCCCGGTTGCCATGGTTATCAAAACCACCATTTTGATTGATTGATTGATTGATTGTATATTGTTTAACGTCCCTCTCGAGAATTTTTCACTCATATGGAGACGCCACCATTTGCCGGTGGAGAGCTGCAAATTTTGTCCTATACTCGGCACTTAGGGCCATTGAGCAGAGTGGGATGTTTTTCGTGCCAGCACCCACTGCGACACGAGGTCTCGGTTTATACGTCTCATCCGAAGGACCGCTCTCCAAGTCCCGCAGTGGGATTCGAACCCACGACGTAAGGATTGACTCCTTACTTCGCGACTCTAGAGCAGACGCTCTAACCACTGCGCCACGCGGGCGACACCACCATTTTGAGGCCAAAAATACAAAGCAACCTACTGAAAGTATACCAACTTCATCATAAATTTCTATTTTCTGCATATTATTTACAGATTTAATTGGTGCCTGCTGTGATAGAAAATTTGTTGATCAAACTGATGAAATTATTCAGTAGTTAGTCATTTTTGGCATTTTCTAAGCGTAGTAGCAAGAAAACGCAGACAATCTATATCAAACAACTACCATCACTGAAAAGTCCATTCCTTACTCAACAAAATATTAGATTTCTGGAAAGGAGATATTTCTTTAAATAAAATGAAATGAAAATGAAAACGGTTGCTTTGGAGATTTTGGATTAATTTGTAGATTCAACATATGGCTCCTTTTGGAAATTATAGCTTTAAAAAAATCAAAAGAAAAACAAATTACACTACTAAACATTATAATTTTAAAATCAAATGATAAAAATGTATGTTTATAAATTAAACAAAAGTAATGTGTTACTATAGCAATCAAAAGTCAGGAAAAATTACTGTAGCTATTGACGTTATCATTATGCAGAATCTGAGGCCTCAATGCATGATTTGATTTCTTCAATAAATAGATAATATTTATTATATTTGTTTTCTTCACTTATTTACATTATAAAATAAATAATAAATAAAAAATTCAAGCTTTTAAAAATCACGTTGCTATGGTAACCAAACAGTTTTGAGAACTTCCTTATAATGGTTGCTATCACTATTTTTGTGATACTGACAAGTATAAAACAGATATTATAAAAGCTTCATTCATGATTTTTTTCTCTTTTTCAATAAAATAAATTTAATTTAATTGTATTTCACTAAATATCAAAATAATAATTCAGTATCTATTTTTAAGAATGGTTGCTATGGCAGCCAATAGCCCAGGAAAACCCTTTTCATCGATATGTTTAATATACAAAATCTTTTGCTTTATTGACCGATCATATTTCTTCTTCAATGAAATAAATTCCATAAACAATGTGAACCTTGTCATTTCACTAACATGAAAATAGAAATTAATAATTAAAAAAAAAAACAGTTGCTCTGGTAATCAAATAATTCAGGAATGATCCAAACAATTATTGATGTACCAGTATACGAAACTCATAGCACTACCACCAGTTTTTGATTATACTTCTAATTTATTTAGCGGGACAAAAAACAAATGAACTCAAACTCAAACTGATCACATATATCTAAATTACTGCAGCAGGATTTTTTCCCATGGAAACAATACCTACATGAAATCATGACCGATCTTTTGGAAGCAACTTGGTTTATTAATTGAAACAATTATAGTTTATATACACTGTACATGCTCTTTTTAGTTTAGGACAAGCACATAGTCAAGAGTGCCCCCCCCCCCTCCTCCATTCAACTTGTTTTTAATGTTGTTCAAATGATATTTTGCTGTTACTTTCGTAAGGAATTATTATACCACCGCTACGAAGGAGAGGGCGGTATACTGATTTATCTTTGTGTGTCAGTCCGTTTGTCTTTCTGTCTGCCTGTGTGTGTGTATGTAGCAAATGTCCGGTTGCAGTTTTCTCAGCAACTCAGCTATTCATTGAAGATGCTTGAAATTTTAGCACAGTATTTGCTTAGGCATGTCATATACATGGTGGGTAACATTTGAGGTTAAATCTGGGACCCGTTTCATCAAAGGTCGTACGCCCAGTCGTAGCGCTACGCCGGTGTAAAGTCAGGACTAGCACGAAGAGTTGCGTTTCATTAAAGAGCGTATCGTTACACCCGACTAAATTAAGGCCAAAATTCTACGTCTACTCATGGGTAGGCGTAAGTTCGGGCTTAAAGTTTAAATTAAGTAATTTCACTATTTTTAAAACAAGTAAGCGAATTCTAAAAAAAAAGTACGGTTCTTAGAAGTCTTTTAAATACAAACGTTGTATTATTTAATTCTACATACTATGAAGAGGTGGGGGGGGGGGGGTACAACCACTTGGGGGCGTTGTTGATTAGATTAATAATATACTGAATTAAATCTTCTCAGGAGAAGATATTGTCTTAAAACAAATTTCTTCGATCACCATTTCTTACGTTTTGACAAAGCATTCACACACATTTGATTATTGTATTGTTAGTATTTATAAGGTATTGTAAATCGACTATACATATATACATGTAACTATATATTTATACCCCCGCCTGAAAATGGGAAGCGTATATAGAAATCGGAATGTCCGTCCGTCCGTCTGTTACGCTTTTGGGTGCCATTGTTTCTTATTTTACATTTTTTGTCTGACTCATATTTTGGGTTTACCATAGCAAAAAATGGACACTGCCATTATATTCATATGGGAGGCGGGATATCCATTAAAATCGTCTCTATTGAAGAAAAAAATCGCAAAATTATATTTTTTTGGGGGGGGGGGGAAATCGGTCTCAAAAACAGAGTAATCCTCTCTCTGGTAATTTTCTACATTTAACTTAAAGAAAAAAATAATTAACCTTAAAACCAGAAAGGTTTTTTTTATCATGTTTGAAGAGTCCATTTTTATTTACTCCTCGTCCACAAGCGTGGATTTCGATAGGACCGGGGAGAGGGTTCAGAACCTCCTGAATTTGTAGAATAATGAACATTTAATGTACAGAGTTAGGGGCGAAGGTAATTATTCTTCTAGGTACATGTGCATCTAAGACAAGTGAAGTTCCTGAGAACAAAGACGATACCCGGGGATAGGGGTCTCATAGACAATAAGAAATATTTTAATTGTAAAAATATTATTACTTTTATTATATCGATTGTAGCGGGACCGGGCGTGCGGTCCTTTTTGCTATTTTAAAATCCTCCTTAGAATTAATTAAAATCCTCCTTTGGTAGCGTCATGAAAATTACAGTTATAAGTTTAAAAGTTTATTACATGTTTTAATAAATAATCAAAATCACATTATGTACAAATAATCCAAAATATAATTTCACAAATCGTTAATCCACAAACTATAGGTCTCTTACTGACTATCTCTATATCCTCTATCTCCTAGCGCGCGTGCGTGCACGCCCTATATATACATGTAAGGGGGCAGCTCCGGTGGAGCTGCCAATACCCAATACACGGCAGCTACCAGGGAGCTGCCGCTCTGCGGACACTTCAATTACGTAATATAAACAAATACTTTACACGATGTAAGACGGACATAATTACACATTTAAGTTCAAGAAATGACTTATTCCAATTTTTTTTTCTCAGACAAACATTGATGCAGAAGACATATTTATTTTTCATGATTTCTTCTAAAAGAGTAAATGTTACATACTATAGCATAATCTGAGTGCATATAAGGCACATGTCAGAGAACAATATGCATATTTTTGAATTCCTGCATAACTTAAGGTTATCCGATCCTCAAGTTCTGAAAACCAGGCATTGAGTAATTGAAAAAGCTCACAACGATGTCTCTAAATTCTCAAATTAAAATGTATTTATCCACGGTGATTCTTTTAACTTCATCTTTAAATTTAATCATATTATATAGGGAAAATTAGTAAATCTCTAATAATTTTTCAGGAAATGCGATTTGAACTACCTACTGCATATTTTTTTCACTGATAATTGATCAAGAAATACATTTGGGGAATAAAAATCATAAGTATCCAGGCTTTTAAAGAAAATTGCATGAATTTAACACTTATTTGGTTTTTACTTTCTCCTACTTACTTCCATCGTTTCATAATATAGTGTATGAAATGTTTCCTTTCAAAGAAAACACCGTAAATCACTTCTAATTTCAAATTATGCTTATAGACATTGGTAACTAAGGCTAAATTAAAAGAAATCTGATTTTGTTTTAAATATGCAAGTTTTACTTAATTTTATTAGGTAAAAATGTCAACCTTTTTAATACCGTTTGTTAAAACTTTAAAGAACATTGAATCATACGAAGAGGCATAAAATGAAAATTGTTGCATGAAAAAAATTCAATTTCAAGCTTTATTTGAAGACTTTTTGAATTAAATTATAAATTAAAGAGTTATCCTGGCTGAGGATCGTATATCCTTAAATTCTAATGAAAAACAAAATAAAAACTAAGTGTAACTTAATTTCTAAGAGGGAGGCCACGCAAGCAGAGGATTTCTGTAAGAATATCTTTGTAGTGAGTTCTCTCTCTCTCTCTCTCTCTCTCTCTCTCTCTCTCTCTGCATACTTGTAAAACGGTACATTAAATTTAAGCTGCAGATAGTAAAGAAATTTTGTCTATAACTGCCTGTAACTAGAGTCTAGTATTTCGATATTATTATATGAACCTTTGTGCCATTTTAATAGTCAATAAAAATTATAATTAATCATTTGACAAAAATTTAATAGACTTAGAAAGGATTGTCTTACATGTACCTTAAAGTGAACTTGTAAATTTATTTCTTGACTTAAAATGTGTACATATGTAAACTGCATTTTTATACATTATTTTTGCTTTCAATTAAGTATACATATCTTATAAAAA